ATAGAAAAATCAAGATGATATTCCTAGTAAAAGTTGGGAAGATAAATTTTTAACATGATTCTGACCACTTGTTGGAGTTCTTTCTCTTGAAAAGCTTCTTCTCCTTCATCAGGAAACTTGTTCAAATCAAATTCATTGGGTAGCTTGTTCAAATCAAATCTGTGATATGCAAATCCATTGAAGGAGAAATCCAGTGCACCTTTCTTCTTTTTTGAAGAATCCAAATCCATGGAGTCTTCACGTCTTGCCTTTTTTTCTTTTTAGAGAGATGCAAAAGAATTTGCAATATCACATATATATTGCATATTAAGATTGCCACTGTTGTGAATATGTATTGGGAAGGAATATGAAAAGACACTTAGCCTACACTTAATATGTATTGAAAAGTTAAAAAAATTAATTATTGTGTGCAGTTATTAAACACTTACTGGAAAATAAGGATAAAAGTAAATTTAGAAGAAAAAATATTAATTATGCTTTGATTTCATAAAACAACAGATATTATGGACAAAAAAAAATTCTGTAAAATGACAGATATTTAGGAACAGAGGAAGTAGTAAGCATATAGTCAGTCGTAGGTAGTTGAGTCAGGGCTTAGTCTAGTTAGTTACTATTTTTCTTCTATTTTGAGCCATGTAACTGGAACCTATTTTGGTCATATTATATATTATGGTTTTTTTTGTAAATTGGGTATTGATTTGATCTATCAATTTTCCTAAAATTTGTTTCTGTAACTTGACTAATATTAAGTTAGGGAGTTTTTAGTTGGAACTTGAATTTGTTTATATGAAAGTTTGTTAAAGAACTATATACTATATTTTAGTATCATAAGTTGTATTCCCAGTTAAAATTCACATTGAGTGCACATTTGACTATTCTAGTGTTAGAATTTTGAAAATAATGTCTTTACCTTGAGATTTGGTACATATAGTGGTGATGATTTATGTCCTTCGTAAGTTTTTGAGCTAATTTTTCTTGGAGTGATATTGACATTAGTTTATGAATTATTTGCATACGAACTGTGTTGCCAATTGTTCTTGAGATATGATTTTAAGTCATTATTAATTTATTTTGAGCCTTAACCTTGTTCTTTGTTTATATTCATCCCTATAAGTTGTGATTGAGCATCTTTTGAATAATTTCGATTGTTTTGGGAGGAAAAACTCGATGTGAATCTTCTTTCACAATTATACACGTGGAGTTATAGACACTTACCTAGAAAGGGATGAATTTAGCTCAATTCATTACTAATTAAAACCTAATCTACCACAATTACCTGTTCTCACATAGATTTAACAATGAATAGTGAGTACCTATTAAACACCACAATTCAAGTTAACTATGATGATTGATGTTAATTAATATTCAATTAATTCTCTCAACAATCAAACTCTTGGCAATCCCAAACCCAAATTGCACAACTATGGATGAATAGATAGCGAATCAATCATTCCAACAAACAAATAGTATACGTGTGTCCTCACAATCATGTGTAAACATAAATAGACAATATTAACACGAGATTTTTTGATTCAAAAAACTCTCCTCAAGAAAAATCACGGGAGACCACTGGGGGTTTACCAAAGCTTAATCCACTACTCAGAAAATTAACATACAACTACTCAAGTCTTATACCTAAACCAATTTCATGATTTTTATGAACCAAAGCCACAAGCATAATAATATGGAATGAAATAGAAAAAATAAAACACACAAGATTTATGTGGTTCCGCTCAACAAGCAAACCTACATCTACAAACGAAACACAACGGCATTATTTCACTATTAAATGTTGGAGATTATAAGACCATTCTCAATAACAACCAACAAGAAAACGTATTTGCTCTATCACTATTACAAAATTAATAGTGCCAAAAAATCCTCTTTTCACCATTATTAATTTTCTCAAAGAGGACCCAAACAAATAAAGAAAACCCTAAATTATCAAAAAATAACTCGTGTAGTTGTCGTTCCTCGTCAAAAAACTAAACCCGTTGAAAACATTACTCCTTTGATTAAGCTTCTGGCATTAGTTATTAAGAATCCTAGTCCATGTTGGACAATATCAAAAAAAGATATAAAGTCCAAGAAGGACTAAACACCTCCACCATGCAAGTGACATGTTCCACCAATATGAAGATTTCAAATATTTTAATCCTAATAAAACTCTACTAGCAAACCTATATTCCTTGGGTCACCTGCGAAATAATCCAAAATAGTCTTGGATTAATTAAGAATTAGAATACAAGTCATTATAATAAATCTCCGCCTTAGCTTGTATTTCATTAAGCCATCCAACCAAAGTGAACTTGACCTTTGTCTTCGCCAATGCAAACACCAATCAAGTCCAAGCATTGCTTGGACTTGAGAATTGATACCGACTTAGTAAACATATCTATTGGGTTCTCTGTTGTAGCAACTTTCTTCATTGTGACAATACCTTGAGTCATAACCTCACGAAGGAAGTGATTTATAACATCAATGTGTTTGGTCCTTTCATAATATATTTGATTTTTAGTCAATTGTATTGCACTTTGACTATCACAAAATATAGTAGTCACCTCCTCTTACAAGCCCAAATCATAGACCAAACCTCTTAACAAAATTGCTTCTTTAACTCCCTCTAATGATGCCATGTGTTCTGCCTTTGTGGTAGACAAAGCAACTATAGACTATAAAATGGCCCTCCAACTTGTAGTGCACCCAAATAGAGTAAAAATATAACCTGTCAGAAATCTCCTCTTATCGAGATCACCAGTATAATCAGAATCAACATAAACAACAACTATCGAATCAAAACCATATCTTCTACCAAAGACTAATCCAATATCTGTAGTGCCTCTTAAATAATGAAGTATCCATTTCACAACCTGCGAATGAATCTTCCCAGGATTAGCCATGTAACGGCTAACCGCACTAACTACCTGTGAAATATCTCGATGAGTGCAAACTATAACATACATGATGCCCCCAACTGCACTAGAATAAGGAACTCGAGATATAAATTGCACTTCATTCTCACTCTGTGGTGATAAAGATGTTGAAGACCTAAAGTGAACGGCAAGTGGAGTACTCACGGGATTTGAATTATGCATACCAAACCGCTCTATAAGTTTCTCAATAGATTTCTTTCAAGATAAATATAGCATATCTGCTTTCCTATCCCTATTAATTTCCATACCCAAAATTTTATTTGCAGTACCCAAATCTTTCATCTCAAATTCTGAATTCAATTGTTCCTTCAATTTGTCAATCTCTAACATGCTCTTAGCAACAATGAGCATGTCATCCACATAAAGCAATAATTATATAAAAGAACTATCTAACAACTTCCTGTGATACACACAACTATCATAATTACTCCTAGAGACCTTAGAGCTTTTTCAAACCATATAATGATTTCTTTAATAAGCAAATATAATCTTCTTTACATTGAATAATAAATCCTTCTGTTTGATGCATGTAGATAGTGTCCTCAAGCTAACCAAGTATAAAAGTTATCTTTACATCAAGTTGCTCAAAATCTAGATTAAGTGAAGCAACCATGACAAGCAATACACGAAGAGGTAATCTAGGCAATTCCTCTAGAAAAACGTCGAGTACTCGCACATAAATTGAGGAAGACCAAACTCTTTTCTATCATCATCATTGATTACCAAATTGGCTAACCAACCCATCAAGTGGTTACGCCAGAGCGAATTTCACAAGGTGGAGGCAATTTTGCATGTCTATCCCCGTGAAATCGGAAACAAACACCCTTTACGGTATAAGTTTACACCATTTTTTATGACAATCAATAGTGACATGATGAGCCGATAATCAATTCATTCCTAGAAAGATGTCAAACTCCGATATTTCCATAACCCTTAGGTCCATTGTTAGTTGAAGACCCGAGATCTCCAACTCACAAGATTGGCAAACACGATCTATCCGAATTCTTTGACCCAAGGGTGAATCAATTCATAGCGATATCTCTATGGGCTCTGACTCCAAATCCAATGCAGATGCATATGCTACGGATATAAATGAGTGAGATTCACCTAAATCAAATGACACACTAAACCAAGAACTATATAATAGAACATTACCTTAGATTATTGAATGATTTGGCAACTACTCTTATTGAGTCAACTCATAGACTCTACCCTAAGTATTCTGACTATGTCCATCACGTCCCTTGCCATAGTTCTATCTTGGGGGTTGTTGAGATTCACACGGCATGGTAGGGGCATGTGATGCATGTCCTATTATCAGATCGATCTATGCAGGCCTCTAGGGCTGAGCCTACTGTGGATAAGATGGTTGCACATTTTGTTATAGTCCAGCAATACTCTAAGAGGTTCCTCTCTATGGATAGTCACAGCTGTAATGTCCAACCTGTACGCACTCATAGCATACTCCTTGCCCCTGAACAAACTTCCCCTTCTTTTGGTGTTTCTATTGAAATGACTAATGGCTCTGCATCTGACCACCCTGAGATTGAGGTGCTAAAGTCCTTTGACTCTTATCAAAACCACCTCAAGAACGTGAATCTCTAGATCGTGAACTAGACTCCCTCATTTTCCTAGTGTCATCCAACTCCCTTTCATCAATTAGTACCGCCTCAACCACTTTGGCATATGTCATAAGGCATAAGACCATTACACAACCTCTAATGGTCAGCCTGAGTCCCAATTCAAACTTTCTAGCTCTATTGTCCTCATCTGGCACTATTTTGCTAGCATGTCAAGTTAGTTCAGCAAATCGAGCCCCATATTGAATTACAATGAGATCTCCCCGACTCAATCCCAAGAATTCCTACCCTTCACTCCCTTAATATCTTTGGGAAAATAATTGTCTATAAACAAGTCATGAAAATCCTTCCATGTCATCTTCTTAGCATCCTTGGTATCTTTAATCATATTCCACCAGTGATTTGCCTTGCCCTCTACTTGGAAGGCAGCTAAAGTAACTTTGATTCCATTAGATTTGATCCCCATGGCATCAAGGATCTTCTCTATCTATCTAATCCAATTGTCTGCCACTATCGAATCAGGTTCACCGTTAAACACTTGAGGGTTTTGCCTCTGGAACTCCTTTAGTGCGGTCATGGAGTACATCCCACTACTCTCACTCAGAGACATAACTCTAGCTATTTCTCGCATGGTCTGCATCATGTCAGCATCATTAGTGCCTTGCGAAGAGGAGGCTATTGCACCGTTGTTAGTCCTATTTCTCGTCGTGGTCTAATTAAAAGTCAAATAGATGGTAAAAATTACCATTTATTAAAAAAAATAATCATAGTCAGTCTCTAATTACAACTAGAATAAGTATATTCAATAAGCCTAAGGTTCCTCCCAATGTCCCTTGTAAATCATATACCTAAGCTCTGATACCTAGCTGTAACGCCCCGATTTTTCTTTTTGGGGTGATTTAGTATGTTTTATAATTCATCAAATGAATTGAAAAATTCAAGTACTTTAGTTTCAACTAGATGATAAGAGCATCTAACAAACTCTCAAAGTAAACTTAGGTAAAACGGATTTGTAATTTGAGCATTTTTTTAATATCATAGTTCAAGTGCCCAAATTATACATTCATCCCAAATATAGTCCATTAATCGACACTGTCACCAAAGCAATAAAACACAAGTAACAAATCTGGAATTTTATCAAACATTAACATGAAATATAATATCTCGTAAGCCAATTGAGCATAGATATTCAGGATAGCTCTGGGAAGAAACCCCCATCATCTCTTGGTCCATTCCCTGCAAAAATGTTAGGGTAAGCCATGTTCAGCAGACAACTTTTGAGTTTTAATCCCATCCCGTAAAATATATGTGTCAATACTTATAAGTTCATATCGAATAATATTCACCATAACAACCTGCTTAAAACATAGCATGAGTCATTATATAAACATTACCAACAAAAACGATACCTACGAATAATGTAAATTTGCCATTAAGCATGTACCTAATCTTACCCATTCACGTCATGGGTCGCACTAAACTCTCAATCTTAGTCTATAACCATTTATGTTAATACAATGTTTGCTATGCACAAACAATTTGGAACATCGGGTCCCTTTGAGGGCTCTAACTGACTTGATCTTAATCATACACTCAAGTATAAGTAGTCAAGTTGTAATATTACTCGGTTAAGTCTAAGGTCGAACCCACTTGAGTTATCTGCTAAAACTCAAAATAGAAAAGGTAAGATTGCCATGTGCGTAGTGGGAATTACAACAGCTTGTGATGCGAGCTTAGAGTTGACAAACAAATACCTTAAACTAAAATTTTGATTATAACAATTGAAAAAGGCTACACTTTAGTTCAGGGATCTAACATGCATGTTATTTTTTGACTATGAAAATGACACCTTACAGTAATTAGCATCCATATTACTAGAAAGTTAACCAGTAGGTTTGATATATAGACTGAACCATATCATAGCAATTAGTTACGTTAGCTAGAAAGTTTATGCACCATACAACAACCTAATAATCATAGTAAACCCGAAGGTTAACCATTCAAAAGGTTTACCTTAGCTATTCAATCAATAGGTTGATGATTCAATGAAGAAAGGTTTCCAGTTTATGCATTGAATCAAAAGCATTGGTTATGACAAGATTTAACCTATCTATAACCAATCTCTTGACTATTACATCAATCCCAACTGCATGCATCATTGTATCATGCATGAAGTACGCAATAATATATAAATGAAATGGTTTATAGGAATAAGTTTAGCTCGGTACTCGTAACCATGAGCATATAGTAATATGATACCAAACGAAAATGAAAATCATCCCTCAGTTAAGAGAGGTATAAACATTAAAGCATAGAACATCAGAATTTCCGTTACAACCTTAGTTTCTCCACTGTGGAAGGCTCTCTTGAAAAATGACCCGAACAAGCTTATTTATAGGCTCCAATGGAGGGTCTAAGGTGGCAAACACCCAAAACAACCAATCAGGGCCTTTTGTTGCATAAGTGGATCAATGGGAGAAGAGGAAGAGGTGAGGCGATTAAGGCCATCGTCCAGACACCACCACCACCGTCCGGATGATTCTAAGTCTCTAGTTTTCTTGGATTATAGCCTCATTTGTTGACTCGTTGACCTTTCTAGCATTGGGATGGTGCTTCACCATCTAGATGGTGAGTTTTCTTGCAGAAATTTCCCTTGCCTCCCTCCTTTTGTTTCTCTTTCGTGCTTTATCCCTCTAAGTTCCCTTAATTGCATACGAAACCCTACAAATTATACAATTCAAACATTAACCATAATACAATTCAAATTAAACAATTTGATTTAATTAACACACATAATAAACCCTAAACCCTAATCCATTTACGCACTTTTTAGGTTTAATCATACCCCTCAACCAAATATTACTAGTCCCTAGTAAAAAAAATAAGTAAAGTATATACAATCACTTTCGTAGATTTCACGATTGCATTTAGCCTATGTAACAAGTCGTTAAACCCCTAGGTGATGAATATTGAATGAGATTTGTCTCGTGAAGATTTTCAGTAAAGATACCTACAAACTTCAACAATTAAGATAAAATAATCCATATTTTTTTCAAGTATAAAATTAATTCGTCATTCCATCTTTATTCCAAATTACTTCCTGTACTTATTACNTGTGAAGATTTTCAGTAAAGATACCTACAAACTTCAACAATTAAGATAAAATAATCCATATTTTTTTCACGTATAAAATTAATTCGTCATTCCATCTTTATTCCAAATTACTTCCTGTACTTATTACTATAAGAGTAACACACACCAATTGTAACACTATTTAGCATATTTTCAGAAAACCTCATGTGTGTGTGTGTGTGGAAATTTCTGTATTTCAAAAACACATAAGAAATATCACTACCCTTTGCTATGCTATACAAAAATTAGCTTTGACATCAATCCTTTCTTGGAAATCACCATCAAAGAATACACTAAATTTTTAGTGACTATCACTCAAAAATTACATGTGGTAAGAATATTGTAACCAAAGCAAAGTAATGACACATGTACTATTCCAAAAGAAGATTATTTGAATAAAATTAGAAATTGGCATAATCTCACGAAATAATATTAACACTAAATCAAATAACATTTTCAACACTGTCCCATATAATGAATGGTTGAAAATAATACACATGACTTCTAAAATCAAGGACTTTATTAGGGTTATTGTAACTCCCCAAAACACATCCTGGATGGCATTACATTCTAAAATCATTCATATCATGAGAGCACTAATATAATCCCTTAAAAAACAAGACATCATTTGTCATCCACGAATATTTACAACATTATCCAAAAGAATAAGCCCAAGTCATGACTATTACATCCCAAAAATTAATTAAAGAAGCACAGTGAAATAAACAAAAGAAGCGAGACTACACAATATTCTAAAAGAATGTTCTAGTCTAGTACAAAAGGAAAGGAGGTCGCTCTATGCATCCACCTCGGGATCCACACTCCCGTCCAGTGGAGTCTCCCAAGTAGTGGGCTCCTCGACCCTTACGTCCTCCCCCTTAAGCGGGTAATCTGAAAAATGTTAGCGAAGGGGGTGAGCACGAAGCTCTATAGAAAAATTCTTCCAAACCCATACAAGATTTAGAAAAGCATTTAAAATGGTCGGTCTCAATTTTAACATAACATAGATACATAATTTGAAATAAAACAATGACATTTAAAAAGGATCTCAAGTTTATTTAAAAACATTNTTTAGAATTAGAAAAGCATTTAAAATGGTCGGTCTCAATTTTAACATAACATAGATACATAATTTGAAATAAAACAATGACATTTAAAAAGGATCTCAAGTTTATTTAAAAACATTACTTAAATGAATAAACGAACACCACATACAAATAATAATCATTAATTGCCATAATCAGTTCCCAACAATTCTTTCGGTAGGTGGCATACTTTGTGGTAACCTTCACCCCCCTTTAGGTCACCATTGATTCTCAAGCATCCTTACCGAAAATCTCTTGAGAATGGATAAGCATCCTTATATAGAACCTCTCACCAATCATTATATTGTTTCTCAAGCATCCTTACCGAAAACCTCTTGGAAAGGGGTGAGCATCCTTACAAGGAATTTCTCACTCATGTGCATCACAAACAACCCAACCAAGCATACAATTCTTAACATTTATCTCAATTTACAAGCATCTATCCAAAATTTCCAAAATATATCATGTAACAATTCCACAACCAACTAAGAAAATACATGAGATCACAATAACATCATTTTTCTACCCAACACAAAGCACTAAGGTTTCGAAATCTATAATAAAGAAAGCATTTAGGAAGGAAATACAATACTCTCCAAAAATTAGGGTTTTAAAACTAGAAAGGAGATTTCATGGGTATTAAACCCTACTTTGTTCAAAATATGTAATCCTTGCAAAAAAGCCTAAGATAGGATGATTCCATAGCATATATATATACCATTGATAGCCAAAACATACATATATAAATACTCTAACCTCAATGTAAGTGAATGAGAGAAAACTCCTACTTTAAATCTTTAGTTTGTAGGAAGGACTTGAGCTTTGATCTTGAATCTACCCTTAAATCTCTTGTTTTTTCCTTCCTTTCTTCCTCTCTAATGCTCTCTAGGGTTCCAAAAGGTGTGGGGTGAGAGTAGAGTGAAAGAAATGAAGGAAAATGGGATGAAAATGGGGTTTAAAACACCTCAGTCCTGAAATTTACTGTTCAAAGCCTGTTTTGATTTTCTCTAAAATTACGGTTTTACCACTAAGAATCTCCAATTTGATCCATATAACTACCATAAGATTTTTCAACGTTCAAGATTTTTTTTTAATGTTATTTTAACCTAAAAATATTTATTTTTATGATTTATCTCAAAATCAANCCATAATCAGTTCCCAACAATTCTTTCGGTAGGTGGCATACTTTGTGGTAACCTTCACCCCCCTTTAGGTCACCATTGATTCTCAAGCATCCTTACCGAAAATCTCTTGAGAATGGATAAGCATCCTTATATAGAACCTCTCACCAATCATTATATTGTTTCTCAAGCATCCTTACCGAAAACCTCTTGGAAAGGGGTGAGCATCCTTACAAGGAATTTCTCACTCATGTGCATCACAAACAACCCAACCAAGCATACAATTCTTAACATTTATCTCAATTTACAAGCATCTATCCAAAATTTCCAAAATATATCATGTAACAATTCCACAACCAACTAAGAAAATACAT